GGTGACCAACTTATGACGTTTTGGTTGGTTTTGGCTTATAAGTACCTTTTGTGTTTATCAAATATGTAAATATGCAAACAAGTGCTTATAAGCTGGTTTGATCAGCTTATGAGCTTACAAAAAAAAACACGTCAAAGGCATTTTTATGGAGATGTTACTAGAGGTGAATTGGTAATGAATTTGTACCTCAATTGGTATTCCTTTATTGTTTGGAGGAAGAAGGGCACCAACTCCATTTCCTCTAGGAAATCTGAAACAACTAGGCCTATCATCAATAGCTGCTGCTGTTGCAACCATATGCATTAGCTCTGCTTCATCTGATGGAGCCATGACTACCATATTAGGTAAACAAGCCATGTATGTGACGTCAAATGCTCCACAATGTGTTGGACCATCTGCACCAACCAAACCAGCTCGGTCCATTGCAAACCGGACAGGTAGCTTCTGAAGATCCACATCGTGCACCACCTTTTTTACAATTATGCAACGTTAGTACAGCAATCCGAAAGGTGTGGCGTGCTTCAAGTGTTATGTTACGGCCTCTTAGTTACCTGGTCATAGCCTCGTTGTAAGAACGAGGAGTAAATGGCACAGAACGGTTTTAGGCCTTCTGTAGCTAAACCAGCTGCAAAGGTAACAGCATGTTGTTCAGCAATGCCAACATCAAAACAACGTTCCGGGAATTGTTTCTGGAAATAATTGAGGCCAGTTCCACCACCCATTGCAGCATGTATAGCTACAATCTTATTATCAACTTCAGCTTCTTTAATCAGGGATTCAGCAAAGTATTGAGTATATGAAAGCGTAGGTGATTTAGCCTTAAATTGCTTTCCTGTTTTTGGATCAAACTGTGCCACCCCTGAAAATTACAAACATAAAACCTTAGTCCTCTTCAAAATTTTACAACATAAGAAAAAGGCAGCCTGGTGCACTATGTTTCTACTATGCGCAGGCTCCGGGGAAGGGCCGGACCACAAGGGTCTATTGTACTCAGCCTTACCCTGCATTTCTGCAAGAGACTGTTTTCATGGCTTGAACCTGTGACCTCCTTTCCTGGTCACATGACAGCAACTTTACCAGCAAAATTTTACAACATGTAATATTTTTATTTTACTGCCTTACCATGCATTTTATCAGCTGCTGCTTCAGCAGGAGGATAGCCTTTTCCTTTCTCTGTTACAATGTGAATTAGAACTGGTCCTGGTGCTGGCATTGATTTTACCTTCTTTAAAATAGTAATCAAATCTTCAATATTATGACCATCTACTGGACCAATATAATATAATCCTAACTCCTCAAAAAGAGTTGAACAAGAAGCACTAATCATTCCCCTTGCATATTCATCAACTTTAGCTGCAACTTCATGTGCTTGAGGTCCAATTTGCTTTGTTATGCTCTACAAAAACACAAGAAACATCCTTAACATTTAACAACTTTGCCTAGTCTCAATCCTTAAATAATAAAAAAAAGGTTGCCCAGTGTAATAAGCTCCAGCTATGCGTGGGGTTCGGGAAGGACTGGACCACAAGGGTCTATTGTATGCGGCCTTATCCTACATTTCTGCAAGAGGCTGTTTACACGACTCGAACCCGTGACCTCCTGGTCACATGGTAACAACTTTACCAGTTACGCCATACTAAACGAAAAATGAACCCGATATACCTTTGCAGTTTCGCGAAGTTGTCTAAACTTAGTACTAGCTTGGATTTTGCTTAAGGCACTACTGAGTGCTCCAACTGGAGTTGCAGGGCCATCTAAAGTTGCAGTTGGTAAAGAAACTTGTTCATTATCATTTAATATGACAATAAGATTCGTGTCGAGAAATCCTGCATTATTCATGGCCTCATATGCTTGTCCTGCAGTCATTGCTCCATCTCCAATCACAGAAATGACATGGTTGTTTTTCCCTAAAAGATCTCGCGCAACTGCCATGCCTGCAACACATCATTTAACCTAAATAAATTCGGAATTTATTCGGGATTTGTATACTTTTTTCCTAGTAAAAATATACCAGTTCAGACCCAATTGTCAAAGGTATTATCTGCTCTAGCCCAACCTTTGGGCCCTCATGCTTTTGTCACCTTTGGCTTTAAACCAAAAATGCGCTTCAATGAGATTCGAATCTTGAACTCGCCTTTTTATAGCGTCAATTTTCCACCCTATTCCGATGTGGGATTTGCCCATGATAAGTTTTACAGCCAACCTCTTTTCGAGTTCAACCGCCAGCTATCTCTGAGCTATTAGATAAAGTAATATAATGTGAATGGGAAATATTACCTAGACCAGCAGAGATGCTAGTTGAACTATGCCCTGCACCAAAAGCATCATAGATGCTCTCATCCCTTTTAGGAAATGGTGCTAGCCCTGAAGTCTTTCTAATAGTATGCATTTTAGACCTCCTTCCTGTCAAGATTTTATGTGCATATGCCTGCAAATATTATTGTCCACTTTAGTTTGCTATATATAAAAAATTATGGAAATATCTATTCTTCGGGAAAATAAAGGGCAGCCTGGTGCACTAAGCTCTCGTTATGCATGGGGTCCGAGGAAGGGCCGGACCACAAGGGTCTATTGTATGTAGCATTACCCTGCATTTCTGCAAGAGGCTGTTTCTACAGCTCGAACCCGTGACCTCCTGGTCATATGGCAGCAACTTTACTAGTTACGCCAAGGCTCCCCTTTCTATGCACTAAGCTCCCGCTATGCGCCGGATCTGAGGAAGGGCTGGACCACAAGGGTGCAACATTACCAAGGTTCGAACCCATGACCTCGGTCACATGGCAACAACTTTACCAGTTATGCCAAAACTCCCCTTCTTATTCTTCAGGAAAATAAAAAGAATTAAGATTTCATCACCTGATGACCAACATCCCATATAATTCTATCATCAGGAGTATCAAAAACATGGTGCAAAGCCACAGTTAAATCCACTACACCTAAACTTGAACTCAAATGGCCTCCTGTCTTTGCCACTGAGTACACAATCTCTGCTCTTACTTCTGCAGCTAATTGTTCAAGATCCTGTTTTTTTTTTTTTTTTTTTTTT